GACCTCAGCATCATGCGGGCACTGCAACATCCACGCAACGACCCGGAAATCGCTGTCGGCTGTATAGAACTGGTCCAGAACTTTATCAACACTGATCCGCGTATCATGACTCAAGAATCACCCGAGAATCTATCGGGCATGTTCGGCTTCACGGTTGAGTCCATCAAGTCGCCTGAAGTCCTACCAAAACGCGCGGCTGCTAAGCTGTGGAAAGACATTTTCGAGCTTGCAGGCAACACGAATAGCCCTCACCAGGCTACAACGCAGGAGATTGTGGCGCACTTCGGTCCGACAGTGACGCTTGCACTTATGGCCAACGTATGCGGAGAGGTGGACTTTACGAGTTTAGAGCACATTGTCGCACCTCTGCGAGCTTTAATTCGAGCCGACAAGAACTCTAGGGCATACATCACAAATGCGCTAGCAGAGCAGCCGCTTTTGCAGCGGTTCCAGCAGGATCAAAGTGTTCAAGATCTGGTGCGCAAGCTCATCGAGAGCATGACCAGGTAAGTTTGGCTCGTGATCTGGATTTCTGTATTTTGGTACTGACATACACACAGAAACGCAAGAAATGGCGCGGCCTTCAAAGACAGCGTGAAAGCTTTCTGGCAGACGTGCAAGCAACTGCAAATGCAACTACAGCCCCAAACAATGAACCCAGCACATCGATTCGGCCATGGATTCCCACAGCCCAATGCATACTGAAAGAATACACATCGTCCAGCAACTTAAAACTCGGCAAATGCGGCCATTGCGAACGTTAGGCCGAAAGACAACTTGAAGGCAACGTTGTCGCGTACTAGTGATCGGACATTCATCGACTTTACCCGGCGCTCCAGGAATGAGTACGGAATGACGTGGATACCTCGCGACTCGATGAACTATCTTCTGTCAGTCTCATCTTCTTCGAGATTACAAGCATAACGAGCGGTAGCGTGTCTTGCATATACCACATAGATATCCACAAATGCATGCGGCGTACCCATCCATGTATCCTAGATTCCAATCGAAACTTCACAAACAATACCGTTGACTTACCTGCAAAGCAAAGATCCCCAGCCCAATCAGTACAGCCAATGGCTTGCTGAACACGCTGATTCCCAGTCCTCCAATCACACCCAGAATGCTTCCCATGCTGATTTGACGAACTGCCTGCGGGTTCATGGCACCTGACTGAGTGATGACTGGTGTTCTCGCTTCATTTGTGTAGTTGTTTGTGAGGTCATTTTTGATCTTGGTGATAGGATCCGGACCATCGCATCGTATGCGCTGCGCATTTCGGAACTGATACGCCAGTAAAGGCGTCGACAAGATGAGTGGCGTGCTGAGCATCAAGCCCCTACGAAGACCAGGAAGTAGGAAGGACATGTTGGAAGCCGGAGATGATGAGCTCGGAGTGTGCGGAAGGTGTTGCTGCTGGAGGTATGCAGAGAGCTGCTTTTCGAAAGTTCGGTCGGATCTCGAGAAACGCGTGGCTGAGCGGATGCAACGGATCGGGAGAAAGGTGTGTCGAATCGGGCTACACACAGGTAGACTCGTCCTTGCTAAGCCAGTAAGTCCCAATGGCGTTGGAGACATGAATGCTTGCTCGGAGCAAATGCTGACAATAAGGAAGCTCACATCCGAGGTAGTGATGTCATTGGCTCCATGGCGTTCCCCACTAAGTCCTTTGGAGTTAGAGCTCGGACCCTGAGTTCTGAGAGCCTCAAACGTAACGTCGCGTCTTGCGACACCATGTTGGACGCGTCAAATTTCCCATCTGGCATTGGACTTGCTCGTCATGCTATGAGCGCGTCCTGAACTTTTAATCAACTAATACGCACATTGACAGGTCATCATGGCGCTTCGAACGGTTCTGCTCACGGTTGCCAACCTCCTCATCCCGGTCGCGATACTGGTCTTCGCGACAGGCTTCTTCCCGTACAAACCTTTTATGCCCGGATTAGCAGAGTATGAAGAACTTGCGTGGTCTGAGAAGATGGGAGAGGATTGGCAGAAGCCACCCGCGGCACCGTTTGACAAGCTCATCTTCATGGTCGTTGATGCGCTGAGGAGCGACTTCGCGTACGGAGAGGAAAGCGGCATGACTTTCGTGCAGAGGTATGGCACTCCTTGAACAATTGCGCATGCGCAATTGAACTGACTATTACCTAGTCTGATACGAGACGGAACCGCGCTTCCGTTCACCGCTCACGCTACCTCTCCCACGATCACCATGCCCCGCGTCAAAGCCATAACGACAGGCTCCATACCCTCCTTCGTAGACGTAATCCTAAACTTCGCCGAATCAGACACGACGTCCACCCTCGCGACACAAGACACCTGGCTCGCGCAGATCAAGGCGAAGGACTATGATAATGGGAAAGGAAAGCTGATCATGTACGGCGATGACACCTGGCTGAAGCTCTTCCCAAACGTGTTTGAGCGCGCCGATGGCACAAGCAGCTTTTTTGTATCGGTCAGTCATAAGCTCTCCGCTGTATGTAGGAGTAATAGATTGTTGATTCTCAAGTGCAGGATTTCACGGAGGTTGACAATAATGTGACGAGGCATGTTCCTAATGAGTTGCTGAACAGTGACTGGAATGCTATGATTATGCATTATCTGGGCTTGGATCATATTGGGCATAAGGCTGGTCCTAAGAGGTGCACTTCTCTGGTCCCTCACTTGAGTAGCGGCACAAGGCTAATCTATCTACAGTCCTAACATGGTCCCTAAACAAGTCGAGATGGATGGTATCGTTCGCGACATCTACGCAGCAATCGAGAACGAAGACCACCTCTCCAACACTCTCCTCGTACTCTGCGGCGATCACGGCATGAACGATGGCGGCAATCACGGTGGCTCATCGCTAGGCGAGACCTCTCCCGCACTCGTCTTCATGAGCCCGAAGCTCAGCAAAGTCACTGAAGCGGCTGACAAGCGGAGTCCCATCAAACCGAAGAACGAAGGAGAGTTCGAGTACTACCGCTTGGTTGAACAGAGCGACATTGCTCCGACACTAGCGGGTCTGCTAGGATTTCCTGTTCCACAGAACAATCTCGGTGTCTTTCTGAAGGAGTTCCTAGGATTCTGGGATAATCCGTCGGACCGCATGCAACTTCTCTACCGCAATGCTAAGCAGATGAAGAAGATTGTCGAAGCCAAGTACACCAGCCTACGGTTCGATGAGCAGCCATTGACGGAGGATGATCTGGGGTTTGCATGCTTCAAATCGGGGGAAAGTCGCTCGCGCCTATCTGACGGCCAGATGCTAGCATGCCTCTGGCAATCGGCTGTCGGTGCGATCAGCGGTGGTGCCGACTTCCAAGAAAACGTGTACGAATTCATGCACGAAGCCCAGGAGATGATGTCCAGCACAGCCTCAAACTACAACGTCACTCGCCTCTTCCTCGGAACCGGTCTAGCTTTCCTCATCTGCGCGCTGAGCTATTCCACACTCCCCGCTTTCCGACCTGCCACGCCAGCTGGCATCTACTACGGCTTTGCTCTCGTGCTGTACGCTGTCCTCATGTTCGCATCCTCATACGTGGAAGAAGAGCACAACTTCTGGTACTGGGCCACGTCCGGTTGGTTCCTATGCCTCTTCTTCAACAACATGCGGAAGGAATGGTACAATAATTGGCTCTTCCATCCTGCCATCATGGCACTGGCCATACACAGGATTGTCAGACGATGGAACCAGACTGGGCAGAAGTACGCTGGCGCCGACGACATCGTGAATAGCGGCCTCTTCCACGGCAACTCGTCCGTCATACTCTGGATTCTCATCGGCGCTACGTACATGGATGTTACGATCCGTATAGCCAGACATGTTGCGCGTTCTATTGCGACCTTCGACGGCGAACAGAAGATGCACAGTGTGGAGATTGAGTCCACGGATCAGAATCGCATGTTTGGAACTATTGCTGTACTACCGCTTTGCGGCACGGCGTTGATCTTCAAACTCGCCTTTACCGTTAAGGATGCACCCGAGATGACCTACGGCCTTAGCGCAGGCTTGGTAGATATGGTCGACACGTTGGAGCTCGTAGGTCTTGCGCGCATGGTATTCGGAGGTTTACTTCTAAGCGGAGTCTGGATTACCTTCGCAGAATGGACACGATCGCAGCGGAGAAAAAGACGAGGAAAGCAGGGCAACGGCGGTACGTCACACCCCTCCTACATGAAGTCGAAAAGACTTATTAACAGCACCCCAGAACTCGCCGTCGCCTTCTTCGACCTAACAACGCTCTTCCTGCTCACACAGACAAAAGCACAAAACATACCCCTCTACTTCCTCTTCCGACTCCAATACTTCTTCCTCAGTAAGCCACCCCATATTGCCTCCACATCCCCCTCTCTCTGCACACCACGCGCTAACCACCCAACCCCCCACAGCCCTCCTGGACCTCACCCCCACAGCCGTAACCCTAACAACCCTCCTCCTAACCCAAACCTCCTTCTTCGCCCTCGGAAACAGCAACTCCATCTCCTCCATCGACCTGTCAAACTCTTACAACGGTATCTCGGGTTACAACGTCCTCGCCGTCGGTGTACTGGTGTTCCTGTCGAACTGGGCGGGACCTGTGTATTGGTCTTTGGCGGGTATACTGCTGTTGGGATCTCATGGGCGCACGCAACGCTATATTGATACTAGTGAGCTGCATGTTGCGGATTGGGTGGCGAAGGAAAGGGAGTGGTTGAATGAGCTGGCGCGGAAGGAGGAGAAGGGACGGGAGACGAGGAAGGAAAGGAAGGAGTGGGTGGGGCATGTTGCTTTGTTGACGTTTTGGACGGGGGGTATGTTGGGCGCTGTTATGCTGGCTTGTACGGTGTTGAGGCAGCATCTTTTCATTTGGACGGTGTTTAGTCCCAAGTTCTTGTTCGCGATGGCTTGGGGCATCGCGTGGCATGGTGGTGTCACGCTGGGGCTTGGGGGTCTGGTTTGGTGGCTGGGAAGTTGGTAGTATGATTGTTCAGTTATCGATGTGGTCGGGCGCCTACATCAGCGCAACGGTCTACTCTTGAGGGCTTCCTGGCTCATTGTCATCCTCCCACTCATCATCGTTCTCCTTCGCATCGTTATCTCCACCCTCGTCTTCTCCAGGTTCCACTCTCTCCTCACTTCCTGGCCTCACCGTCCATCCAAGCGGACTCTGAACTTCCTCTTCCTCCCTTCTCCTCTCTTTTGCTTTCCTTGATTCTGATCTGTGTCTCCTGTCATCCTCGCTCCACCTAATGCCAACCCTGTGACGCGCTCTCTGCCAAGCCTTCCTCGCCTGTTCTACGTAATCCGCCTTGTCCTTGAAATACATAAGGTTGAAGTTGACTCCAAACTCCGAAAATTCACGTGGATCGTATTGGGATAAGTCCAATTTAAGTTTCTCGCCACAGTATGCGCATTTCGTTTCCGACACACCTGAGGGTTCGTATGCGGGAATACGAACTGGGCCGGTTGGTCTGACATCTGTATTAGCATTGAAGTTTCCGAACGACTTTTTGGGGGTTGCTGTCCGACGTGGAAAAAGTATACGTACGCGGTAGATGGACCAGCAGTACCCACACGTGGATCCTCTGGATCAGGCATTGGTGTTGTTGTCTCGGCTCCCCTCTCATTCAGTCGACCGCAATACTCGCATCGCCACCTATCCTGCATTTTCCCGGCCTCTGCGCTGGAGATCTTCCGTTCACTGGGCTCCTTCTTCAGGTACGCGTCCTCACGCCATGTATCCGCCACGGGGTTGCGAGGTATACCGTGGCCTCGTTTCTGGGTAGGTGAGTCCGGGTCGTGGTAGTCCGGCAGTGATGATTTGGGAGATCGTGCCCTATCATGGCTGGGGTCGTGCTCGATTTGATCCGGGAGCGTGGAGCTGCGTCTTGGGGGCGGGGGAGTGGGTTGGCGTGGTTGAGTGGACGTGAGTTCGGCGGGTGTCATGGCGGCGAGCCCGGATGAGATGGATGACGTACGGCGGCGCGTGTTTGCGCTGTAGATATAGGTTAGCCGTCATATCGAGCCAATAGGTGAGTTCAGTGGGCGGAAGACTGCTGGGGGTGGCCAGATACTTACGCAGCGCTCTCCACTTCATCCACGCTCCTGCGCGGGAACTGTTGCTCACTGGTGCTGGTCTCATCATCTCCGTCGCTGCGAGTCGGATACATTAGCGGCATAAGCGGACAGAAAACTCCATATTGGGACATGAAGGATTTCAAGGTCACTTACCTCGCCTCGTCGTCTATGTCGTCGTCTGAGCCCTCTGATGAGTCGACCCAGTCGTCGGAGTTTGCATCGCTCATGGTGGCGCACTTCGCGGAGCGGGTTGTAGAAAGGAGGACTGTGAGAGCGCAATTGCGAGTAAGTCATGTTGGGTGGTGTGGTTCGCGACTGCCATCGGATATGCCGCACGGTTGTTGTTGTTTGCTGCTGGGTGTATGGGAAGGTGCGATAAAGCTAACAGAAAGCAGCGCTGGAAGTTGATTCTGAGCGTGACATCGACTCTACGTCACAATTGCAACAGCATAACGACAATGTAGGCTTCAGGGTAGCTTTTGATGTGAGAGACAAGGTTCATCACATTCAATCTCTTTCGTATTATGGTATGCGAAAACGCTGTGCCTTCTTACCGCCTGCCGAGTAGTAGTGCTAGAGAAGGTGCATGTCAGCCCTGAGGCATCCGTGTTCGACCCAGTAGAACGACATCACACCAAACAACGCTCGATGAACTTGAAATAATCTTACAAAGTCTATCGTGAACACTTTAATTTCATGGTAAGCATTTGCAGTTGGTTTGAAAGACTTTAAATAAACTAAAGTCTTGGTGCTCGTGAATATAGCCTCTCTCAATGCCGAGATCCGTTCTCACACCGGCTGCAGCCCAGAATCTTTCGAAAACTCTCGACTAGTCGTGTCTCTAGCCCTATCCTCGCGACCTGTCCGTGACAACGTCCTTCAATGTCGTTGTACAAGGCTGGTTGTTGAACATGCCTTTACACTGATTTCCATTATCCGGGGAGTTTGGATACCGACAGGTCGGGCAAGTCACCCAGCGCGATGCTCTAGCAAGCTCTTCAGCTGTCATTTCTTCGGGTTCCAGATTTTTGTTCTTGGTGGAATAATAAGCGTCACCCCAATTTCCGCTGGTAACAGGATCCTTTGTCTGCGTTCCGTGTCGATCGTTCTTGTAGGACTCGCCGTGATCGGTTTCTCCGATTCTTTGCAACTGGGCTTCTCCTGGCTCGCGGGCAACCATTGGGGTGATAAGGCTTGATTTGGGTTGACTAAGCTGCATGTCAGTATTGTTATTCCGGGAAGGAACAGGATTCTAACGCGTTCTCCTTGATCTGCTCATTCGTCAACTTCCGTACCATCACCTCGTCTGGTGCTTCTCGGCTAGAGCTGGCCTCGGGATGCGTGTTCCTGGAAGACTGGTCGGACATGTTCGCTTATTGTCGATAAATATCTTCAAGCAAATTGCTGGGTGAGTAGGTATGGAGATGGAGTCTGTAGTAAGGTTGTGGGCTTGTTGGATGCAAAATGTATATGCCAACATCCCCCAACCTTTTATACTCTGCATGAGTCGTAGGCTTTTGCCAGCGTATGCGTCGCTCGTCTGCTATGCATCATATTTCTTACTCATTCTCGCTCCGTACATATTCTCAGAGTCTTAACGTATACGCGTATAGTAGCGATGACTGCGAAAGAAACCGGGCCAGAGAATGGTCCCAGGACGTCGGAAGGCAGCGTCGCGTCAGTCATGTTGACTGACGGCTTTATCAACTAATGAGAATCTAGTGAGCAGGTAATCAGCAGATAGCAGATTAATATATCAGGAGCAAGACTCATCCAACAGCACAGGTTTTCCTCACTAGCGTAAGTGGCCCGCACTACGTACGATGTCCGAGACCCCATATGGGAGACGAGCTGTTACCAGTATGACAGCCTCAGATGCAACTCATAGTATTTGTCGTAACGTGGCTAGTTGTTCCTAGATGACTGTAGTGACTCTGGGAACGAGTGGTAGTGGTATTGATGATGTTCAGGTATGTTTTGGCGTCTGAGCTTTCGAAGGACCAAACGTGACATGATTACCTAGTGTTGGATGTGTAACATCGTACCAAAAATATGGTCATGACATCTCCTAGACATCTGTGACTCAGCGTATTAAGACGACTATTGCTCAAGCAAAACTGTGTAGAGTGGTCACCGCTCACAAAGGATAGGGTAGCTCGGACACATACAGGTATGACGATGATCTTGTCAAATTTTGCATCCAACTCTTATCGCTAGCTAGACCTACACTGATGTCCGCCATCGGCGCGCTTTCGATACCTTAAAGTCTATCGTTATCGCTTTGTCATGAGCTATCACTGCTCAACCGCACGTAGGTTTGACTCTGACCGTCTTTGCTCCGCTTCGTTAGCTGATCAAAACTCATCGTCCCGTCGTCTGCGTTCATGGTCCCGGGCAGGTGGGTGACGATTAGCACCCGCACCTGCATTTGCGCCACCTCCGCCTCCACCGCCCCTCCAATTAAGAGGGTTGAGCATCCCGCCGAAAGCGACGGCTAGTGGCGGTGGTGCTGGTGCTGGGGCTTGTGGTGCCGGCGCTACATGAGGAACGTTCACATGAGCGTGTGCGGGAGCTTCCACCGGCGCATCGAGACGAGCATCTGCTTCGGCGATAAGGCGGTTGATCTGCGCAAGAGTCAAGTCTTCAGGAAGCCAATTGCCAGGATCGACAGCAACGTGAACTCGCGCATGCGGGCAGTCGTCGAGGTGCCGAATGTCCTTGGTGTACTCAACGAGACACACCCAACAGAAGTTGTGGCCGCACTGCTCACCTGAAAATGTACGTTAGTATCGGATATCACGGCTGATGTTTGACCTTATTCGAGACTTACATGTCATGTGATCGCATCCACCGTGCTTCTGGATGTTCATACCGCACTTTGGACATGGCTTGGCCCCCATAGTCTTGACAGCCCTCTTAGACAAATCGTCCTCTGCTTTCTTCGCCTGGTCACACCCGCCTTTTCCATGCGACGTCCAGGGGCGATTGCACTTCAAGCAAATTTTGTGTTCGCAGTAGGGACAGGCAACCTGCTGTTTGCTTTGCTTGGTATTCTTGCAGTCTTCGATGGAGAAGTATCGGCCGCATTTGGCAGAAAGACAGGCGATGTATGATTCGCCACTAGATAGAGCATGCTTCGTGACGGCTTTATCGTAGCTGGAATGGGTTAGCATATTGATCAATGGAGTTGTTGGTGAATGACTTACTCTTCGAAAGCTGCCTTACTCACTATGGCCCGAAGAGCTGCATAGTCTAACAAGTAGTCGCATTTGCCGACCGGACAACTCAGCTCTGCGTCTTTAAGCTGACGATCGGCGACCTTTGTCTTGAGCATCTTTGCGACACATAAGTTGCAAATAGTCTGAAGATGTTCGCAAGCATCATTGGGGACCTTGAAAGATCTAGACGTGTCCTTTGTTGTTGCGCAGATTGAGCACTCTTGCTTCTTCGGCCGCTCCTTTTCCTTCGGTGTCGGAACCTTCTTGCGTGTCTTCGGCTCTGCTTGTGGTTTGACGACGGCACCAGCCTTGACACGAGCGACAGCTTTTGGATCCTTCTTGCGAGAGGCCTCTGGTGCTTCGGGTGAGATAGCTCTAGTTTTCTTGCGAACAGGAAGATTACGACCGCGCTTTCTGCCGGATGTGGTAGGAGCAGGCGAGGTTCGGGAGCCGGCTTCGGGCTCTGGGGTTTCTTCGATACGAACAGGGTTATTGCGGGTACCTATCGGGCCAGAGGGCTCAGCATAGTTGACACGGCGGTCCGGCCTAGCTCGTAGTCGGGTTGAAGGGGCCATTTTGGCTGTTAGTTAATGCTAGCGGTGGTTAGTATATGATGCAGTGCCAAATATACGGTTAGAAGGTTCTCTTATACGCCCCATAGCGTGTTCCCGAACCCCGCAGTAAAGTCAAGAACCTTTCTACCTAGGTAGGCTACTGTAACGGTAGAGCATGTATAAGTTAATAACAAACGGGCAATGAAGCAATGTCGGTCTCGGCGAGTGCGCAAACGCACGTTTACCTCGGTTGGTAGAAGAAAGTCGTAACCGATGTTCCAGTAGTGAGAGAAGTCGCAACGTTGGGTGGTTGAGAAGGAAGGATATGGGATGGAAGGCCGATAGAACACTGGTAAAGGTCCATCTCTGTCCGGGCACTTAAACCATCACGGTCGACGCGAAGACCATCGTGAAAAGGCATATCGTAATCGTTCGTATACTGCCATAGTCCAAAGTGCATCGTCAATTTTCGCCCTTTGAGAAAGAAGCTCCACGTCCACCATTTGGCTATATCGACAGTCTCTCCGTAGTGCAAGCTGGTTGAGAGGATTTTTGGTAGCTAGACTTCTCTACGCGTATTGCCAGCGTGTTGTTGGATCGTTTGTGTGAACGCGCAACTTCACGCTACGCCTGACGGAGGTGAAAGGAGGTCGGGGAAGCGCATGACGTAACGATATTAGCGTGCTCGGAACATCCCGACCCGGCAACACATCGCGGGTCGCTCGATTCTGATCCCACAACACCACCTGGGCATTCGCGCTCTCGCGAGCCACTCGAACCTCGCACGCGTCAATCCATCGCATATGCCCAGCGCCAGGGTCAAACGAATCGCTCGATCCCCGAATCTCGACCGCGCCATAGCACAACCGAGGAGCCTTGCGAACGCGTTGACAGACACCACGAAGCCCCTATATTGGCTGTATACACGTGGACAAGACGGAAACGCGCTTGGACAGCCAATTCGTCAACACAAGAGTCGCTCTATCCGTTATACATATGTGCAGGGTGCCTGCTTTGGATCGTACACGGCCATGAAAACCAAGCTGCTGTGGACGTCGGCATTCACTATCTCTCATATCTTGCTCGAAATTCGTCTATTATGTTGAATTGACGCTGATAGTCTCAAACTCAGTACTCCTTTGCAAGCACTCGGTTGTTTCTTTTCGGTCAAACGACTGTTCGCGTCGCGACTTCTCGGTGCTTTCGTCTTCGACTACCACCTACTCGCACGCGCTCTACCTCTTGTACTGCTTCAATGACGGTGACGGTCTCATAACCCGCAATACTAACGCCTCTGGCACGTCTACCTCGACCTGACAGTTTCCTTCGCTCTTTGACTGTATCAAGGTAGCTGCCCAGCGCGCGAAGTGGCATACATGGACGATGGAGGTTCCGGAAACGCGACCACTTTGTCCCACATCTCCGAGACCAATGATAATCATCTTCTGGGTTGGA